ATATATATATATTCTTCCGAAAGCATTTATTTACAAGAATTACATGCGTATTTTATAGATACATTATATCTATATATATATTCTTATATTATTATTATATATATATATTCTTATATAATTCTTATATTATATTCTTCCAAAAGCCTTTATTTACGAGAATTACATGCGCATTTTATATATAGATTATATATATATATATTGGAAGAGTTTCCCATAAGTCATTTTAATAAATAATTTTGCCTACATAAGAGTAGTTTGTCTTTTACGGTATACTTATTTCACCTCATACTTAAAGCTTTCCCTACATGAGTCAGCCGCTTAATCGGGTTGAAAAAATGTAAACCTGTTTTGTATAAAGTGACCGGAATCCACCGTATTTTACCGTAAAATTAAATGGATATTTGGTGTAATATAAAATTACAAGTGTCAGATTTGCCTGTAAATAAATAAATGTGATAATTTATTAAAGATTTAGCTTTTCGACCCACTGCATGTTTATTCTCTAACCGCTTGTCTACAAGAATTTAAGGAAAGTTTAGAAAAGCATAATAAATCATGACTGAGCGAGTGGGGAAAACTCAGATCTTAAGTAGTATGTATGGTTGAAACAGGCCATTTAACTTGGCTTAACGTTGAATTATATACATTTTTTGATATACTATATGATAACGCTTTTTGATAGACAAAGAATAAGCATGATAAAAATATTTCAAAGTTACATATAAATATTGCGATGAGTAGATATCGGAAATGAGCATTGAAGCAAGCTAGAGTAAAGCATAGTGAATATATGCTTTAAGATTGAACTTATTATAAGAATAAAATATACTTACTTAATTTCAATCACTCTTTACATTCAATAAATATATAATCGCGAGATCTACCTTTGAATATCTTCTGATCTGATTCAATTGCCATACGGACTGGAGGATGGTTTTGGTGCCCTTTACTTTCTAGCAAAGTAGGATTTAATATTGCATTATATATATATATATATATAATAAAGTAAGCATTAAGGAACAAAGAGTACATGAGCTTGTACTTAATTTTTTCAATTAATAATTGTGAAATTGCCAGTATGCTTCGCTTTAAGATGATGCATTTATTAATTGACGGTGAAACTTTGCTGATGGCAATCAGTATCAGCAGTATTTCAGAGATCTCACTACAAGCTACTAAGGCATTATATTAAAACCGTTGTGTTGCTTCAGATTTTACTGCTATTTGATTCCAATAATCTTATTGGTACATGGAAAAAAATTAATTAATAACAAACGTAAAATTCGTTATACTACTACAAAAGGGTATCAGTAGTAGTATGTTCTTGTTTACTTGCTCAATGTTATCGTATAATGACTCTGAGGGATAGCCCTATTTGGTGACCGTTAATTGCAATAGGGAACATTTCTTGCACTCAAATGTTGCATCACTGGCACTTTCTGCATTTATTGCGAAAACTTATTTGTATAAGTGTACACATCCGTGGGCAATCAGGTCGCTTCCTACGGCATTGATAATTATAATCGAGTCCAAGTTGGTTTCGCTTAGAGATTAGGTGAGACTTTAAAGATTCTGATTTGGCCCAGTCTATTTTCATGGCTTTCAGTCGGTACATTTGTAAGGTTCAGCCTATTGGGAAGATTTGATTGGTTAAATCGTATTAATGAGCAAATGAATGGGATAAATATAAATATTTCGAGATAGGTGGACATTTATAATATGTGAATATTATAGGAGTCTAATTGCACGAATCAAAAGCTAATATATGATAATAGATACAAGAGATTTATCATTTGGTAGCATTACATCGAGTAAAATTTATATGCGCAATTGCAATAAGACTAACAACTGGCCTCTGTCCTTTAGAAATATCAGCTTTGTCAGCAAATTCTGATATTCACAACAAGCCATACAACATTAAAAGGCATTATTTATTGTTTCTACTGAGTCGTATATATAATTGCGACCGACTTCCATATTTTAGCTCAACCGACTATTGAATTACACCAGAGCTTGGGATATTGTTTCCAACGGATAATATGCCATCTATTTGCAAATCTATTTAGACCGAAAAAGTTTCTTATTCCAACCTGTGCAATGAAGAATGGAGCAAAGTTTCCCATTTTAAAACTATTTGAATGAAATTTATGGTTAAACTTAAACCATATAAGGTTTACCTTTATTTATATGGCATGAGAGTAAAATATGATTTTAAATGATTTTGCTTTACATTTAATAGTTTTTGTATCATTTCAATTATATATGACGTCTATATTATGGTAAATATATGTATACTTATAAATCCTCAAACTAAGCTTGCAATATTACAAATATTTGATGTTGAAATTAAAGATTTGTGTGGCTGGCTTACTTTGAATGACTGCATTTATATAAAAAGGATTATTTAATAATTATATTATGACGGCGTTTTTCATATTGTGTGATTAATTATTTTTGGCAAAAGTCGATCTGGAATGTCGATTTGTACGTGTCAGATACATACCTGTGCAAAATCTCTTATAGTACATCATACAAGTTTTATTATAACAAAAGCTATGATTTTTCTAAATATATCGAAAAGCAGCAAAATAAAACAACCTCTTTTCATCTCAAAAACTTGCAGTCATCTCGATCGACGTCAATCTGCGTTGTCCTACATATTTTGAATCTGGCTACCATTTTAAATATTGGAATTATGGCAAAATCCCCATGGGAATTCCTGTTTCCAGGATTAGTAAAAGTGAATGAGATAGTAAAAACTAAAGGTTAATTTAGATTTATATTCTTTGATATTTGAAAATTAAAGGATTATACTGGAAATAATTGTGCCTTTTCAAAGATTAATTCTCATTTAAATAAATAATTAATCATTTGTTAGAAATAGAATTAATCATATGAATTCCAGATTTATCCATATACAAAATCACGATTATCTTGAATCTTATACAGCACACAATAATTCGGAAAATTTAGAATTATGAATTATATTGGAGTTTATAGATTTAAATACTACGAAATTACTTTATGTTTATGTGTGTTGCATAAAATTGGCGAATCTTGACCTACAATGAATGCGAATGAATCCTGCAACTGAATTTTATCTAAAAGCATTATGATATTTTGTGATAAAAGCTGTTATTTGATATGAAAAATACATACTAATAGAGCCTTAGGCACGAGGTCGGCTTGAAGGAAAATATTTACTTAAAAAAAAAAGAAATAGTTTTTTAATCCCACCTTAATTAAATATGGATAATGAATGATGCCCTGAAGGTAAACGAAATTTATGTGGCAAAATATCTTATTTAAATATAACAATGCTTTTATAAGATAATGTATTTATGTTCAAGATTTTATCGAAACATTTCACTCGAGTGTTACAAAATGTTCAAATGAAAAAAAAACGATTTCTTTACATTTCTAATGATATGAATATCGCATAAAAAGGAATATACATTTCCAAACAATTATTCTATATCAAGTTATTGTTAATATAATCCGTCTTTGGTAATTTTTGCTTTACTTTTTCTCATTGCCTATTTGTATTTTTGACGCATTAAATATGCAAATTATTTAGAGTAAATTAGGTTAAACCACGTTAATTTGATGACACTAGGCTCGATTTCATAGGGCACTTTAATGGAGAGAGTAGTTACGTTATGAATTTTGTTATTTCTTTAAGGCAAAATTGGGTTTGTAAATTACTGTTTAAAATATTATAGCCACATATTGCTTAACCCAACAGAAAATAATCGAAAATATTTGTTATACTTAAGTTTCTTTTTATATTTTCACATACTTTAATGATAGTATATGGCAATTTATTTATTTAAAATAAAATCTTAACTCTGAATTTTACAAATTGCTTATTATTCTTCAGATATAAACTTACTTTCTTAGCTGAATCCTGCAAAAATAAACTGTATAGATAATCAAATTATTTTGGTTATTATTAACTATATACTGAAAAATATCTTCCAATTTGACTGTCTTAATTTTTATTTTATTCAATTTAAAATTAAGAATAAAGCCTAAAGAATATTTAGAATTATTAATGCAGAAATTTGCTACTGTTGTAATTTCAAGTTTTTGATAGACATGTGAATAATTATTTAACTTTAAATTTGTTATTTATATTAAGCGATTATGCTTTAAGTTTAATTTTTTAATATCATTAAACTTCTTTCTTATCCCAGTTTTATTTTATCTATTTCTAATCTTGTTGAGTTTTATATCATCCGTTTTCATCTGTTCATCTTTCTATTATAGATGTTCCACGAATAACCACAGCTCTGACAGGAACTTTTTATCTAGTAGCTCATGAATCTATTGCCATTCCCTGTCGATCTATCGGATCTCCACTGCCTGAAATTGAATGGTACATTCAAGGCAGTCGAGTTGTATCAATGCCTGGTTCTAAATATGCATGGAAAAACAGACTTGCAGCACAACACTTGAACCACGGTCTTGGCTCCGATCGAGTTTGGGTAATCCGTTCTCCATTAGAACTGGGTAAAACTCCTACTGCAAGTAAACAAGATACGTTCAAACCACTAAACACAGGAAATTCTATTGAAAATAGCGGTTTAGGAGCATCTCCGTTTGACAATAAATCCATAGAAATTAAGGTACCGGAAAATGCTAAAGCAAAATCTGACACTAGAGCACAGTGGAGGGAAGCTCAACTGGCGGCAGTTTTACGAATAAATCCATTTTTGCCCATCGATTCGAAGGTCAAGCTGGTATGTAGAGCGAGAAATAGCCTTGGCATGGATGAGGCAGTTCTTCATCTAAAATATTATCCTAGCCCAACAGGTTAGTACGGATCCATATTTTCACTTTTATTTCCTGCAGATGTGTGCATTGCCATCTATTCCTTAGTGCTATAGAGCACTACTATTGCATGATAAGTAATATTATGAATGTTATAAGACTGGAAAAATCGAGAGATTATACATTTTCATGGCCAAGTGAATGTAGAGCTTTAGAATTTTGTACAACTCTCTTATCTGCTCTGTGTATTATGAATATGCTTTACAAATTGTTAATAATCAGACATTTAAACT